ATACTGGGCTTGTTTACGTTCTAGTTCCCGAATATTCTCTTGTATCGTGTCACATTCGTTGTGCATTTTACAAAAGTGTCAAGCTTACAGAGCCTAGCGTATTTAGCAAGTTACATCATGTATTTTGTCGATCACTTAATGGTTCCGGGGAAAAACATTCTTGTAAAAAATCAACATTGTCAAGATGTTTACATGAGTTCGAAATTAGCAAGGGTACTATCACTAGTTGATATGTCAAGAATCGATGGAAGGATATAATCAGTCCCCATTCAAAAAAGTCTCCTGAACGCTATATGGGACAGCGGCAATCATTTAGCGATAAGAAAAATCTGGTGTGCGCTATAAGCTGTGAAACGCTGGGACTGGACTAATTCGTTGGTCAGTTTCATTTTAGGCGCTGGAAACAAAATTCCGCTAAAAAGCGTCTATCACTGTGGCGGCCAACGGGGTGACATGGCGTGTAATGTCTTCCTATCACATTTAGTCAAGTGAGCGAACATCGCTTGCTCCACAACTCAGTGGACCTTAAATTGCTTTCATGCAGTCTTTAAAACGAGAAGAATTGATTGCAGTGATTATCAAAGTTCCGAAAGCTGCAAAATGCTTCATTTACTGTTCGGATAAACAGGTTTTCGGACAACACTGCGGCATTCATCGTTACTGATAATAAGTGAATGTATCTATTTGTAGCAAAAGAACTTTTGGGCTCAATCAGTATTGTTTGGTAGACGTTAATGAACTAGAAACGACAGTAGAGCCGTCGTTACCGATTCCACTTGGTTCAAAGAAAAGTTTAGTCAGCAGATAACACGAAAAATTGGCTGGATTCACCTAATCTTAATTGTTTCGACCAATACACGGTCTGTTCTTTCTGTAAGAAGATTTAAGCTAAGGCGCATTTTGAATACAACAGATTTTCGTGGCATTTCTCCCAAATACGAATTCTCAGTGTGTAAAAAACTCATCAGCTTTCAAGCTAAAATCACTTTACTACCAAGTAAGCTACACAATGCGATAGAAAAGTCACTGAGATTTGCTGGGGGTGACACTTTTCACGCACAATTGAAGCTGTTGGCATGAAGCGACCGAATCATTAAGTGTTGTGGCCAACTTGTGTATGAACGAGGTTTACCTCATATTTCAAACCACTGATATGACATTGGAATAACTGTTTCAATGGCTACTCTGCGAAGATTTTCATTACAGCTGAACAGATGATGTTTTATTGAAGAGCTGCACAGTGTGCTTGAAACACCATGTTTGAGTACCCTGCATTGTATTTTGTTGCATGACACGCTTCAGGAAGCGGTGAAATAAACGTCCAGTGAACACGAGAAAGGTTAATTCAGTAGGAAAATTGTTCTCTTCTCTAGAGCCACCACGGATCACGTAAGTGTTGGCCATACTTGGGGACAAACGTTATTCGCAGCAATCGAGAGTATATTCACGGTTAAAATCGTTCAAAAGCACGTTTTTGATAATGTTTTTTATTCTCGCCATGTATCCTGCAACCGAGTGGCTAACATCACGGATACCCATCCCGACGAATAATTTTCAGATCCCAGCGGCAGCGCCTTTAAACTAGAATCCGGTCCCTTTTCTAGGTGTTAAATTATATGTTGGTTCATCAGCAAAGGACGCAAGAAGCTATTTTGTGACAACATACGGGTGCTGAAGGTTTTTTACTAGTCAACCATCTGTTTCGCCCTTCTTGGGATTCATCAGTTAGGCGCAGTTTCCTGGTTTCCATCGAAATTATATTCCGACTGAATATCAACTTGTACTTAGCTAATGGACCATTCCTTTGCAAATGAAATTGGTATTGCCTTGGCTCAACTGAATCTAATATCTATGGAGATACCTAACTATGTAAGGTATATGGAAACTCGGACGCTATGGCCACATAAGAATTGCAAAACCGACAGTAGACTGCCGAAGATTTCCAACAATCTCATTAGTAGCATGATATTTCAAGAAAACACATCGCGATATTTTGAATGTCTGACTGAATTGACCATCTGGCGACCTTTTTGCAGCTCGTTCAGTTTGACAACATCGTAGAGGAGAGCTTCATTTGAGTAAGAATAATCACTCGCATTTGCATTTCGAAAGTGACCAACCAACAAACAAATTCTCAAGCTTTTTTCTGATCACTAGCATACAGAGACTACCAGATCAAATGTTTCTTGACGAAGCTTACCTTTAGTACATGGATTAGTTGAGGATCGGGTCTGATGGTATCCATCCAAACAGCGATCGCATGTGATTCCAGTTACTCCTTGTTTGCATCGACATTGTCCACTACGTCGATCACAGTCATGACGAATGATGGATCCAATAGGATGGCACCGGCACGCTAAAAGTAGCCCGATGTATAAGAGTTAATGCACATAGGTTCCGACCTAGTGGATAGCAACATATTATCTGCGATCATGTGACCAATTCCGGTCTGCTCCTGCGAAGTGGCCTACTGTTACTTTACATCATGTCGTACAAGTATTATGTAATCCGTTCCAGATGAGCTCACCCACATAAAGATATTAATCCTCATAAAGACACGTAACCATTTCATTGTGGACACCACTGGAATGAGGACTGGGAAGTGGCCCACCTAGTTTTCTCAGACGTTGTAGCTACTTTGCGGGTCTTAACTTGTGATGATTACTTTTGAGATTGTATGTGTGAGAAACCAACTGCTTAAATGTTTCATTTCCGGAGATAGAAATCAAATATCCCGACCAAATGAGAGATAAGTAATGTATCCTTTATGTGTCCTTTGGCTTCGCCGGACAGGGGCCGCCGGTGTGCCAGTTACAAATGTGGCTATTGTTCATCGTGCTTGGTAAGGTTAGTACGGTTGAGGATTCCAAACGCATATGGCATGTGTGCATGCGGCGGTTCTGGCTATCGAAATCTGTAGTCAATACTGAAAGGAGAAAGGAAAATAAGCAGCGCCACTGCAGTTATGAAACCACTGGTTGTTCAAATGTGGTAACATTTCCGCCGTCATCTACTAATAAAATAGGGCGGGGTTGTAAATCCGTCTGCATGAGAATTGAGATCTGATGTTGTTGAGATAATTCACTTTCATAATCTGTTTATCAGAGAACTTTCGGAAAAAAACAAAGAAGGAATGAATAATTAGCTTGTCAATTTTGCGTCACAACATGAATAATTATCTGTCCGGGTGCCAGAGCGGGATCGGAGTCCCTCTTCCATGCAAGAGTGCGGTTGACAACCAATTGGTTCATATTCGTCTGAGCACATGGGCGTTACTCGGCCGGGTGATCTGGAGATTCCTTCAAACAGATCTTGACGCAAAGCATAAGTGATGGGGCAATGTTTCAGTTCCTGGAGTGCGAATTACTCAACGTCCACTACTGTAAGCCCATTCAAACTGAGGGTCCATGAGATGAAAGTGTGACATTCTTTCAGATTTGGTCAAATGTGATTATGCGAAGCAGCTTATCTGGCGAGCGCTAAATATCGTTGGACATGCAAAGTGCGGATTACCGAACGTCGAGTTATGGAAATATTCAGTAGGTAGGGTGAAAATTACGTCCATTTTGGCGCTTTACCTTGTGACAATGGGTTCGGTTGTATACGGAGAGAGTATTTTGGGGCTTAAGGCTCTGGGAAAAACTAGTGTCTAGGTCGTATCACCCAGGTGTACCCAATAAACTCTTTTCTGTAACACGCGTTCAGTGCCTGGCAAGACAAATTTGGTCGGGCACTATCGGGAAGATTTGTAGAGATCAATATGGTGTAGAAATGCACACCGGTTAAACAAAATAATAGAATTAGGGACTCACGAAGACAGGCATGTTCGTGACTGATGGGCTTCGTCCAGTCTCGATAAAAACCTTCGGCGCAATGTTGGCAGTTGCGTCCGGCTGTGTTATGCTGACAGTTCTCACAGACGCCCCCACTGACCCGGTTCGACATGAGGTAGAGTGCATTAGAGAAACGACATTCGCTTGAGTGTAGATTGCAGTCGCACTCTGCACGAGGGACGGAAAAAATGTGAAAATTCGTGCCTGAGCTTTTAGGGACACTCATCGTGCATAAATTAGGGTGGAATCAACATATTGATTTGAACTACAGTAAGGAAGACCACAAATATACACTGACTTCCCATTAGCTGCTCTAAATATTATATTTTCACTTAAGCTCACCCACTCAGATGAACGCGGAGAATGGGACTCAGCGACACACAAGCCGCCTACATGTTGGCCTCATTTGGGGTCCACTACTATTGTTAACGTGATGTGAAAGTGTAAATCAGATACACCAAAATGTTACTTTGCGCCGTGTTGATGCTTAGTTCGATGGATATCTATAGGTAATTCAAAGTTGTCCCATCGACCGCGGGTGATCCTACTAACTCGAGAAAGGAATTTGCCCTCTTTTACCCACTTAACACAAACGTCCCTGGATATTTGTACCAAAAATGGGGAAAATCCAATAAAAATGAGTGTGAGACACTTTGGCGTATTATTAATAAGAACTTGCATATGTCGCCGGAGGCCCGAATATGGATTAGTGGTGTATTGTGATACATTGCGATGTCTCTGTGAAATCCAAATTGGAGTGCAAATGAAGGTATTGGTCGAAGTTCGTGCAATATGGCTTCAGAAATAAAATAATGCTGATGGAAACTTGGGGCTGCGCCTACCTTAGGGGCTTCACGAAGGACGAAACCGGTTGTGGGCCGCCGAAGATAATTGGCCAATTTTATAAGTGGCATCTTACGTCTGAACAATACATCGTGCTATCTCGAATGTTGTGCCACCTAAAACATGAGGTAGCCTGGTGCAGTGCATTCAGTTGAAGGAGATCAGTATAAACGAGAAATTCGGATGGATTCAGTTGAATCTTCCGTCAAGACTAAATTCGTATGAAGACGAGAGTTTTTAGCGATTAGTAGAGTAATTTGTGCTTGCTAGCTTGGCTCCAATAGTTGTAAAAAACAGGTTGTGAAAGCAGTCCGTTACTTAGAGACGTCCGTCTCAAATAGTGGATTGTCGTGTGGCGCTTGATCCTGATGTCTGCTTTTGATACACGATGCAACAGCTAGATGTTCATAAATATTTTTGATTGAGTGATCGGGCTGAATCAAATCATATTTATGATAGCTGGTGACATAAATGAATAGCACAATAATGCTGCGGCTTTCCCTGTGACAAAACACTTGTAAATACCAACTGATGGCAAAGGTCACCCCAGTTACGATAAGCCATTTTCAGAGAAAAATTTGATATTCCCGATACGGGCAATGCTTCCTGTATGGGTATGGGAAGGATGGTACTGACGTGCGGTCTGTTTCCCCAGTGGTAAAGAGTGAGTTGATCTGTCGTTCGACTGTACAGATACCAAGATCATGAAACCAAAGATGTTAAACATTGTACAGTTAATTCTGACAGTAACAACGACCCTGGAGCTAATCGAAATTCTGTAGAGTTAATACACTACTCACATAATTTATGGAAACTTCTCGGCAGGCCACAACCGATTTCGTCGTTCTTGGCACTCAGCAGGCGCAGTTCCTGTCAAGCTTGTGTTCTACTTGGACCCACATTGCACGAAATTCTAAATACACACTCACAAATTTGACAAAGGCTCACCTCAATCCAAACTGAATCTTCTGTTTATAATGTTATTTTTTCAAATTGCTGTTCACCACCAGAGATTCATCCGGGACTCAAGTAAGTCTCACATGAACACCAAATTGGTACGCGAAAAAGCATACCAGCCGCACATCCTTTTGTGACCCCTGGGTCTGTATTTCGTGAACGAAATTTCACTTTTCAGTATGCTGATTTCTCCCGCCACTTGTACCTCATATCATAGCAATCGAAAGCAGTTTAACTTGCACAACTTCAGATCACTGAAGTTTCATACAAAGGTTTAGTTGGATCCCATACTTGTCAGAGGCGCTTACATAATATGAGATCATTATGGTGTGTCAACGACCTCCCGAAGAGCTATTCTCACATGCGTTTCATTGGAGCGTCTGAAAGCGATGTATGTCGGTGACTGTAATTCATTGACTATGAAAGATAATATCTACTGCTTTGTGACAGGCATCAGCAGCCCACAGGTTCCTCTCTACTTCACTACGTCTTAAGGTTCCTAAATTTAGTGGTATTGTCAGTTTCTCTAACTCACCAGGATGTTTAATTATTGTGTTGCGCATGGAAATCTCAAACGTGAATGTCATCCGTTTAGTAGATATGGTCGGTTGATATGCCGTATACTCGAAGAACCATATTTATTAAGTCTTCTTATCTTATTCGATTACCATTCACAACTCGAACAACTTCAGTCTACTGTAGTCAAATTTCTGCTATGGTAGAAAGTCAAGCCCTTTTTCCTCGATTTCATCCACACTCGTTTTGCTTCGGTGGGATGTAGTCTCATTTGTTTCAGCAACCGCTACTTTCGAGAAACTTCGCAAGGTTTTCGTCTAATACTGGCAAGGTGTAACCAAGTCTGGAAGCTTTTCCAACGCATACTACTTATAATCCTTCCAACGTATTCATCAACATAATTTGAACAATAAATAATGCGGCCTGCTTAGTCACGAATCAAGTTGCAGAATTTGGTCGAGCTATATCTCTGCAATCGGCACTGAAACATCCTAACAGATAAATTATGCGCAAGTTCGAGTTTGAAACACCCACTGACATTCAAATGTGATGCTGACGGCAGCTAAACTGACAGGTCCTACACCCACAACCCTACCCTCCATTAATGTCACCACTTGACCTGCGCGGGCTGTTACTGGTCTGACCCACTGCCCCAGCAATCTTGATTCACATCTTCACCGAGACCGGATGATCGATTTCTCATCTACATTCCGCGGGACGCACCGCACGAACTGCAGATGAACAAAGCATCAGCTCATGGACTCGCCTTGGATGTGTGTCTGAATGTGTCGCAGCGTTATCAATCCGGAAACGCTACTAATCCAGTGACAAAACTGCTCGCGAGCATTGTTTTCGCGAATAACTGCTAACAGTGTTCAAGGGATGAAAACGACCGAATATACTATTTGCATTTTGTCACGACTAGTGGCATTTAACATTGACCCCTAACCTCTTTCATGCGATGTCTTTCCTTACTGCTTCACCCTGAAAACGCAGCGCAGTTACGTTAACGAGACATCCATATGTTGACGCGAATGTTGTGACGGTCGGTGAAATTCACATGCCCGTGGTATACGAAGTCCACAGCGTCGTTTTCATGTGATTAGACCACATTTGCGGGCCACTGGGGCATGTCATGTATTTATTCCCCCTATAATCATTTATAAGCTGTACTCATCGTCCATAAGCAACTATGAACATTCAGCACATTAAGTGTCAAGGCATCACATTTTTCCGCTTTCACGATCGACGACGTAACCTAAAGGTTCCAAATATCGGTGGTTCTAAGTGACATGGAATACTCAGGTTATAGACTCATCTAGCTTACCAATGACAGACCGTAATTAAGTTCTTGAAAAGTGGAGATTTTGTCAGGTGAGTCTCAGAGTTCAGGGTGGACGTGGAACGTTCCACTCTTTCAAAGACCCCTGACGTGTGCATCTACTTGGGAAACGTACCCTTCTATTTTGGGCACCAAATGGGGATTCAGACAGTTAGCCAATTGTGCAGTTTACTCGATGAGCAAGTAGGTTTTCTTTTTTCCTTCAACTAACTTTTCGTGGTCAAGCTGCACATAATTCCTTTTGGGTACACCTAGCTCCATTTGATGACACACTACCTGTCATCCAAACATTAAACTAGAAACAAGCGCTTTGGTCCTATTATGGCAAATTTTTTGAGAACTTTGGCTAAAACGTGTCCATGACACTGTTACATGCTATCAATTTGTGGTTTTTAACCCCATACGATCTGCGTTCCTGCTCAAGAGTAAGCCGGAATTAGGCGAATTCAGCTTCAGGAGAACGTTGTTCTCAGAATAGTTGTTTCAGCTGTAGCGAGAACCACAAATCCAAGAGCTGCCATATGTGTGTAAAAAAGAGCTATTCTGTTAACTGAACAGAAATTTTTAATTCCACAAATTACGGTCAGATCGGGGTAGGGGCAGAGTTCAAGCCTTCAGTGTAGTGAACCGAGTGCGCTCGATAGGTATACCAAAATTAGTATTTCGGATCAGAAGCGGAAACGTTCGTTCGTTCGAAATTCTGTCACTAGAGCGGCAGATTATAAGGTTTAGCTGCGACCAATTTTATCTGTCAGACCTGAGATGACTGCCGTACCTGTCTTGGACTAGAAGCATTTCTCAACCTCTAATGTGCAGCTAAGGAAAGTTTTATATGTTGAAGCGAAATAGTATCGTGGTCTAGGAGGAAGTAGCAGGTGTTGCATGCAATTATGTGCATACAACAAAAAAATCTGTTTTAAGATATAGCAATATTTGTTTAGCCAACAAAGTACTATCCACAATCTTCCTAGTTACATCTCCGTTGGGTGGAGTACAGTGGCCTTTAGAGATTTCCTTCGTTATCACAAGTTCTCATTTGATCCATCAGCTGGCTGTAAGTCTGACAGCAAACCTTTACTCGAGATTGCTGTACATACCTATCGTTTCTTCTTCTTCTTATTAGCTATACCATATTTCTACCTACGCTGATCTAGGTATTTTGAGGAGCACGGTAAGCAGTTTGACTGGTAAAGTACACGGGGAACCGGCAATATTTGGCTGGAGCTAGCTAATTACTTCTGTGCGGTAAAATGTTCCCAAGTCGGGGTATCAGATTAGACTGATGCTCATGTAAATGAGTTGCACCTAGATAGGTTGATTCAACTAAACCAATGCCTGCCTATATGCTTAACTCAAACTGCACTACACCCGAACTACACTGCGGAATTTCTTCCACCAAGATGCCTATCCATGTTATTAAATTAGAAGTAAGTTTGATAAGACCAGCTAATGGTCATTCGATACACTTCAGTTCCATTTGTCAGTCAGCTTGTCCTAATCGGGGTTCGAT